CGGCCAAACTCCCTTGGCATGCTTATCTCTCTATTTTGGCCGATTTCTACTCTTTCCAGTCGCCTCCGAAAGTCTGGTAGAGGCTACCACGCCGCAGCGACGAAGGGTAACGGAACTTTGGTGGCGGGAGCTGGGGCGCGCACGTGGCCGGCTAGCCGCACGGTTTCCTCTGTGCTCCTGAGCTGTTCGAGCGCTGCTAGATTTTAATTTGGCCTTGTATGACCCCGAGACACAGACCTAGACTCGGAGTAGTCCAAGAGGAAACCGTTCGTTGTCAGGGTTCCTTCAATTTCGGAGAAAAATTGGGAGACTGTGGTTCAATTTCGAAGAAAAAAATCGGATCATTTGGGTACAACAATGTATGGAAACCACTGCAGAAAATACCAAACCTATCATTTCTTCTTATCAACATTGGACAGAGACAACGTGACGATATACTTAAATACAACTTATTTCATAATGCCATATACACACATACATATATACACTGTATACTATAAACAGGCTGAAAACAAGAGAGCGAAAAAGTTGCACGACATTCGTACAACTACCTCACGAGTGCCCTCAGATTGCAATCGCACGTGCGACGAACTTACGGCGAATATGACCAGGCCCTAAACGCACGGACAACATACAGACAGACATACTCATTTTTACTTGAGTTAAGTGGTGAAATTCGCGTAGAGTGCCTTTGCCAAGGGCACACGATCAGTGGCATGGCAGGGTTCGAACCCGAGACTGCTTGGTTCCGAGGCGAGAGCTCACCGTTACCAGCAACACGACCCCACAGGTTGTTTGGCCGGGGGCTATATTCTCTCTGCTTCCCTTCATGATGTTCTGTAAGTCTTAGATCTGTACCTTGACTTTACCTTGACTTGGTCTAGTGATAGGTTCAGTTGTTGGTCGCCCAACGAGCGTATCCGTGCATCGCTGTCTACAAGCCTTTAATATCGCCGATCTAAACATTGGAGGGATAAAAAATGTCAGGTTTAATTTCCTAAAACGTCTTGAATTTAATGCACAGTATTTTCTTATCTTAGTTAAGATTAAACAGGCCCTTCTGTGATTTAATGAGCGATCCTTAGTAAGACTGGTGGTCAGACGGCTACTGGTCTACCGGACATTGGGACGTACCGAAATATTTGACGGCATATTTTCTATATGATTCTTATATTGTCGGTTCCACCTAATACTTCCAGCATTTTCAACAAATGTAAGAAATACCTGCAGAGGTGAGTTGTCTTTTTTGTTACCATTTCTTTTCCTATATTTATTCATATTCCCGGATTGTTCAGCAAGTGGACATCTGTATTTTCTATGAAGGAATCTTAATATTTTCTTAAAATTAATCCCTAAATTGTAGTTTTTATCGCATTTGTGACTGAAATAAAAACTAATAGTTTCCCCCATTTCCTAGTCACTATTTGTTTTTTGTATCGTTCATTTTACAAAATAACAAACAAACAAATAAATAAATACATCAATAACACAAAAGAGAACACATGTACCACTGGTTGTTATTTACGCCTCCATGTAACAGACCCGCAATGTTTCAAACGAGCCAGCATGACTTGGCCAACTTTGTGTGCCGTAACTATGCGCCAGGTCTCCCGCCCCCATGCCACTGTAATCTCCCATCTCGTGGTAACAATTTTCCTGGTTCAGGAGAGACGCCTGGGCCGAGTGGTGGTTTCCCTAGCCTCGTGTGCAGGCCTCTGGATGAGTGGGAGTTTCCATACTGCGTTTTATAGAGTTTTTAACGCGTTCTTTCATTGCCAGCCATCCTACAACCAGGTTTCTATCCGCCCACGGGACCTTTGAAAGACTTTTCTAATCACTTTTTGCTTGCTTTTTTTCCTTGTCGAATGGAAGCAGGCTCCGTGGGCGGATGGAAACCTTCTCTCGCGGCTGGTTGTAGGATGCCCGGCAAGTAAAAGAACGCGTTAAAAAAATTCTACAAAACGCAGTACCAAAACTCCCACCCGCCCGGAGCCTGTAGCCTCTACCAGGCTTCGGTAGACTACTGGAAAGAGTAGAAATCGGCCAAATAGAGAGATAACATGCTAAGGTAGTTTAGGTCGGCTAGAAAGTACAGTTCGGGAGCGGCAAACTGTACTTTCCAGGACCTGAACTTCCTAAGCATGTTATCTCTCTATTTGGCCGATTTCTGCTCTTTCCAGCCGCCTCCCGAAGCCTGGTAGAGGCTATGGAGCCTGCACAGGAGGCTGCATGTGAGGCTATGTCCAGGGCAGGCGCCTGGCCCAAGTTGTGGTTTCCCGTGCTTCTTCCCGAGCCATGGCGACCGGGACTCCCCCCGGAGACCATGACACATGCGCCGATCATCCCAAGTATGCGTCCCGTGGATGACCAGTGCTTTGAAGCGCCCTGCTTACGCATGAGTTGTGAACACGATCTCGCAGCCCGAACGGAAACCGTCCGTCGTGTCGGCGGGAAGCGCGCTCGCACGAGACAGTCACTCCGCGTGTAAACAGCCCTACTTCCCATCACCCGGACAAACCACATAAAAGTGTGCAACCTCGGGGCTCCTACTTCAGTCTACCAACCTGCATCTCACCAGACAGACATCTCTCAGTATCAACTTCGCCTTGTGTGGAGCGCTCGCAGCCTGGGTGTTCAGACTCTACTACACCGTACAGCGACGCGCGGAAGAGATATTTTACTTGTTTTTTCGACGGAAAAGCGGAGTAGACCGACCATGGCTGGACAAAACCGCGGACGCCCCCTTTCCTGCATTCTTTTCGGTAAGTACACAGCGTTTTTTTTTCATCGTCGGTCGGAAGTTTTCTTTTCTTTTCTTTACTGTTGTTGAATTTTTTGTCTAAACTAATTTGTACACTTGATCCGCAATCGTACACACGTGTGGACATTTCTCTTGCTCTTGTTCTCTGGAAGACCCAGTTATATTTCCTTTTAAAGCCGACATTCCACACAAAAAATTCTTCATTCCATTACCTGAGTATGGCATTATCTTTAAAGTAACATTTTTAAGTACGATTTTCCTCTTTGTGTGATTTCTTGTGTGCTTCTAGTTCCATAAATTGTAGCTCATATCAGAAGCAGACAGCGGAATTTTCCTCCGACGATAGAGGAAATAGAAGGCCCAGGGTCGCTAAAGGCGTTTTCCTCTAGACGAAAAAAAAAAGAGCAAAAGAAATGTGCTTGACATTTTGGTAAACCCTGGCACGTTGTTCTTCGTCTCGACGGTGATAAAGCGGAAAAGCACCTCCCTGTTGCGAGAGGATTTTCATGTTATAGGAGCGTCTAAAACGGGCATCCTCCACCAGGCCTTCCTACGGGGTAACCTCCGTAGCAGGCTTATAGAACTGGGGGTTTGGTGGTCTTCGGCTGTTTTCTGATTAGCCCAGCTCTAAAAAACGGGGGTAATTCAACCAGGCCGGCTATGTCGTCTATGGAATCATAAAATAGCACATAAAAGACCCTGAAGACCCCCAAACCCCCAGTTTTTGGCATGCTCTGGACGCTACCTACGGGGATACGGATCCTAGAATTCGGTAAAAAGGAACTACTTTAGCCAGGAGACTCAGTCCACGAGAGGGTTATTTCCCCCTCTAACCGTGTGAGCAAATGAACTCTACGCTGGCTAAATTCCCCTAGTCAATTATTCTGCCTACTGGCTAAGTTTTACTTTATTTTGAACCCGGGTTGTTGGGTTGTCTGGTGGAGACTAGGGCATCCTGTCTTCTAGGAAAACCTCGGTGCCGTGGCGACTAGTTCCCGGGGTTTGCCTCCCAACGACTGTCGACACTTCCATACTCTAGACTTAGACTTCCTTCTTTTTATACTGACTTAATTTTGTGGATGACATCCTCTGAAGACCCCTATTAAAACTAATGAGAGCGGGCGAATAAGTTCTAGAGTTCTGTGGAGTGTCGGCAGCCTGGGTGCCGTCCTCCGTGGTTACTACCAGCTTTTAGCCTCGGAGGAGGTGATTTTTTTTTATTAGAACAGGCAATTAAAGCACAAATCAATGCGCGCGTGGATGTCATCCATAAACTTAAATCCGCGTGGCCTTACCATTAGTCTATTCAGCAAAGAAATATCAGACAACTATTTTCAGGCGCGTCCTCTTTTGCTGCATTTTCCTGTTTCAAAATAAGAACGACACAGGAGTAGTTTAGTGATGTGCTTTCAGTCGGACCTCTTTTTTGGAAAACAGATAAGCTGAATTCACTTTAAAATGTGTGTCTCTAGGTTTTTTTTCTCATATGGTCTTTTTGAAAAAAATAACCCGCAACTTTTTCAGCCAGCAAAACTAAGATTTCTTCTTAAAATGTCTATAACTCTCCTCGAACACAGCAAGATCTTTTCTACGACGCTTTGTTGATTTGGTTCAAGCTTATTTTTCAAGGCTAACCGTTTCTAAGCTTAGCCTTTGGTTTGTTGATATCTGTCTTACGGAGGAAATTAAACGCTTCCCCGACAAAGAAGGACGTAAAAACAACAGCTGTTTGGCATTGGCACAGCAACGCTACAATAATAAATACGGAACTCGAGACGCTTGTATTGCGTAATTTCAAGGTCTACGAAAACATCGTTGTATTTATCCATCTTTAAAGCATCTTTACGTTATTTGTTTTAGGGATATATACGTTGTGTGTGTGTGTGTGTGTGCTTGTGTATATGTGTGTGCGTATGTGTATATGTGTGCGCGCGCGCGCGCGCGTGCGTGCGTGTGTGTGTGTGTGTGTGTGTGTGCGTGTATGTGTGTGTGTGTGTGTGTGTGTGTGTGTGTGTGTGTGTGTGTGTGTGTGTGTGTGTGTGTGTGTGCATGCATGTGTGCCAGTGTGTGTGTGCTTGTGTATATGTGTGTGTGTGTCCCTTCCTATCTTTATCTCTGTGTGTGCGTCTGTGTATACATGTACGTGTGTGTGTGTGTGTGTGTGCCTTGCTGCGTCGTTGTTCTTCGATTTAACTAATCAGTTTAGATGTCTCGAGCTTTGGGAGACCCAATTCCAGTCTGCCCTTCGCTGGCGGTGTGGCCAGGGGATCGCTTGGCACAATTCTTGAAATCCTTGTCGCAGTTTCATGTTGCAACAGCCGCAGGGCTGACATAATTCCGGGCTTTCGTGGCCTTGAAAACTTTCCTTGGCCTTCACTAATCGGTACAGACCTTAGAAGACGGCCTTCAGAAATCTGTTTCGCCCAATGACAGGAGTATCACGTACGTAGGAAACTATTTGAGATTAACAACAAAACAGCTATAATCAAAATTGCTACAAAATGAGATGATTGTAAAATATAACTGTTATACCAACCTGATATAACGTCCTTAGTTATACAGTCTATCATATATACTAGCCGTTTTGCAACGTTTGGTTTCAAGATATGCTTCTTGAAATAACTGGCACAAAGGGACGTGTTTGTTAAACCAGTTTTGACATGATACACGACAAGACAAAGCATGTCCAATGGCATCATTTCCTTTCTATCACGTAGTTGCCCTCGTAATTGAAAATATTAGCCAAACCCGTGCCATGGTTAACCACTTGTATACGATCAGTGGATTCTTTTCTTTCTCCTTGTGCAAGCTTCTGTATCTGTATAGCCGATAGAACCACCCTTCGGCGTAACACACCAGCTTCTGCATCTGTATAGCCGGTAGAACCACCCTTCGGCGTAACACACCAGCTTCTGTATCTGTATAGCCGGTAGAACCACCCTTCGACGTAACACACCAGCTTCGCAGGCACGCGGCGCGGTGGCAGCTGGCTACATTATACCGAACGACTTGTTACACCTATCTTCAGCTCATATCGATGAAAACAATTTAGTGAAGTGTCCAAATTACCATGCACGCTCTGTTCACCCCCAAACTAGTTTCCCCTCCCTCCATAGAATACCAAATTACATGTCTGGCCAAATTTGGCACAGCTCAGTACCCGCCAATCTCTCCATTAAAGTTCCTCCGGGGCAAATGACGGTGATTTTGTCGTGCTGAACATACCGGGGTTGGAACAGATCGCCCCTGAAGACTGCCGATTTGCGCGGTACCGCTGGCCGTTTGCCAAAAGCAAGGATTTCTCTTGCTCTCAACCCGGTTTAGAAAACACCACAGAGGCTCTTGCGCTATCTGGGCGGGATAAGAAGTTTGTTAGTAATCCCCAAGCAGATCCTAGGGTGGCAAAAGACGGTATCATACCAATACGCCACCCAAGACCCTAGGTGGCGTATTGGACCCTCTCTGGCCAATGGATACTGCCTGGCCAATTTGATACTGTCTACCCTAGGATCTGCTTGGACATTAGTTCATTGGCTTCACCAAGAAGGCTATGTTTCTAGATTTAAGGACCGCCTAGCGGCTTTCCTTAGCACTGCAGCAGAACGTCCGATTTTGATATCTCGTACCCTTTTTTTATGCCAGCTACATGGTTTACATGGCTAAGGAACCAAACATATTTTCCTCATACGTATGTTTTATACATTGTGGCAACTTGAAATGGAGTTCATATTAATAGAAAACGCCACAAATCAATCAATCAGTTTAAGTAACTTAGATACGTTTACTTTGTAAGTTAAGTACACATGTAGCACGTTGAACATTATAACAATTTATAGCTTTCTTGGTGCCACAAACCCACAGTACTAGTGGCTGCCCAAGCCCACCAAAGATAGAAACACGAGACAGAGTGTGGCATTTCAAACCAACCAAACCTCGGTGTCTCTACCAAGAGTCCCGTGTGTGTTGTCATCGGGTAGGAAGGGGCATTCCACGCTAACCGCACGGGTGAAGCCCAGGCGCATAGCGATCTCAGTAAACACCGTCACAACAAGGAGGCAAGGGCCTCTCTACGGGCAGAGTGTGGGCGGGAAAATGAAGCACAACTGTTAAAGAGGCTGCCAAGAAACAACTAAAGACATGCATCGTGTACTGACTTGGGACAGCACGAAAGGAGGCAACGGAAATACGTTGGCGGTGGAAGCTGTGTTCCACTGTCTACAGTGATAAATAGATACAGATATGCGTGCAGCCTCTCACAAAAAAAAAAAAAGAAAAAAATGACAGTATGAAGTAAAGACTAAGCTTTCATTCCAACGGGTCCATTCTGTGAACAAGGTTGAAGAAGTCAGCCGAAAATTTGGGGTAAGTCCCAATTAATTCCAGTGTTGGAAAGAAAGTATAGCCTTTACTTCATAATGACTTGTACGTACCAACACAGATGAACTTTCATGCTAAAAAATGACAAAAACAATGCAACTCTCTCTTTGGCCCTCAATCAAATTTCTTGAACATCTTGGATACCTCACACGAATGCCATATAGCATACGAACTTTCTTTCAGCGGGCAACATAACTCGAGAGGAAGTGATTAAACATATGAAAACATATGTTACATTAGCCCCACGTTTTGTATACATTAACAAAAGCTTCTGAAAGGTCAAACCTTTTTCATCAACTCATCTGGTCTGACCGAAAACGTTTGGCTAGATTCTCTCACGGGAGACTTAAGTCGACAAAACAGAGATGAAAGCGGGGATGAAATTGAGTCGGTGGTAAGTGTCGTCTGCGGGGACGGTTGATGAAAGATGGCGGCCAGGACCCCATAGGTCGCGGCTAATTTTTCGGTAAAGGTTAAAGGCGTTGCCCAACATGATGAGGCAGTGACCTGTCCAAATGTCAAACCCAGCGGTATGTGGGGGAAAGTTCAAGGCTCTTTCAGATCTATCCCTTGTGGGAGGGTGATTTTGAGGGAAATACTTCAAATTGCTCAGTAGTCTAGTTAGAGACCTGAGCCTGGGGGCAATTGATGCAATGGTGGCCGATCGAAAATCCCAGACAAATTTTGTGGTCGACTACTGACATTTGCAGCTGGTGTTTTTGACTGGTTATACCACCACTGGTCTTAGCAAGTTAAATCATGAATGGATGGAAGAGGTGAACCTTTTTTTTCTTTTACTTTTTCTGCCCCAAAGTACATTTCTATCCACGTCAACGATACAACTTGTACTTTCCTTTTCACACGAAGGCCTTTCGCTTATGGACAGTTTCTTTATTTCCGTATTTATGTGATAATCACAGTTTGATATCTAATTTTCCTCAGCTCTCCTCCTGACCGTGACGCCAGACGGTACCCGGGCGGCGGTGTGCCGTGTGTGTGAGGAGTCTGAGGCTACCTGCGACCCCGTCACAAGAACATGTCAATCAAACTGCAGCAGGTGAGCACAGTTTGTATATTATGTTTACCGAAGGAAAAGATATTGCTTTTGCTACGTTTCCTCTTCTTCTTCTGTTCCAAACTAGTGGTAACTAGTGTTGGGTTACATAATGTTGCATTTTTATATGAATGTATTACATGTATTTGAGTAAGACTTACCTTTCTTGTTTGTTTACTTCATTATTGTTTGTTTGCCCATAAATTACTAAAAAGGACAATTTTAAACCACTATTGATTTTATAGGTGCTTTTAGGTGCTTTTTATCCTTGCCTTTCCACATTTTATGATAAAACGTGAAAAAAAGACACTCTCTTCATTGTTTTTGTTGACTTTCTGTAACACCAGGACTAAAGTTTGTTCAGCTGACCAGAACTGCCTCGCGACCATGTCTGAATCCAGGGAAGGACGTTGGTTGTTGTACACCGGCTGCTTCGGTGCAGCGCCATCAGGGGTGAGTTTATCAATATCCTATCATGAACGTTCATCTGTGTTGGTAGATACACGTTTAGAGTTAAAACTTTAGATCCAACACAAAAAGTTCTCTCAACTAGAGTTTCGACCAGTCACTCTGGTCTTCCTCAGTGAAACTTGTCATATGGCTATCAACACCAGATACCCTTGACCTAGTGTTGACGAGTGTTGACGTCACACTTCAAAGAAGCCACGTGACAAGCCTCACTGGGTCAGTCTACAGAGGAAGACCAGAGTGACTGGTCGAAAGCTCTAGGTGAGAGAACTTTATTGTGTTGGATCTAAAGTTTTAACACTAAACATATATCAATATCCCATAAAAATTAGATTTCTCATATGTCACATTGTTATTAAAACTGAGTGAAGAGACTCTTTTTACATAACCAAGTCTTTTATTCAGCCGACGTTTCGGTGACCGTCGAAGGTTTGGAATGTCCAACGGGAATATGAATACTGTCCGTTTTGACCGATATTTTTTTATTCGTTTCTTAGCCGGCACCAGACCCGCAGTGCACCGCTGACTTTCTGAGAGGTGTGTACACCTGCACGTGCAGAGGCGACGACTGTAACAACCTCATGGTCGTAGGTGGGAAACTGCCTTGGCCAGGTGAGACCCCTAGCGATATCTGGCAGTACGACAACACCAATGAAGCTGCTATCTGTGAGTTTCAAAAATTTTCCTCAAATGTGCCCAAAAATTCACGCAATCATGAGCTGGGAGCCCAACTAAAGCTGTTCTGATTGGCAACCAGCCGCTGCTTTCACGCATTTTTGTATAATTCGCTTGATAAGAGACAATGGGAAATGGTATATCTACATTAGCCTCTACCAGGCTTCGGGAGGCGGCTGGAAAGAGTACACCGGGTGCGGCAAATGTACTCTCTAGCTAGCCAGCTACCCCGACATGTTATCTCTCTAATTTGGCCAATTGGCCGCCTCCCGAAGCCTGGAAGAGGCTATATCTACATGAGGGATAGGTAAGACTAAGCTAATGTGTAATTCGTTGTCCATTCAAAATATTAGCCTGGAGGTAAAGTAAAGTAAAGCAGCCATCCTCAATTGAGGCGAAGAATATTGCCGCTAAAAGTTTTTAAGCAGCTACGCCCGCTGGTGCTTCGCTGATACGTGATTTTTACACGGGCCATTGTCCTCTAATACTAGCCTCTACCAGGCTTCGGGAGGCGACTGGAAAGAGTAGAAATTGGCCAAATACTAGAGAGATAGCATGCCGATGGAGTTGGTCCGCTAGGGACTACAGTTTTTGGAACCTGAATAAGCGGACCAACTCCCTCTATGGCCAATTTCTACTCTGTCCAGCCGCCTCCCGAAGCCTGGTAGAGGCTAGCTAACAGGTACATCAGGCAATGAGCTCAGCAAACCCGTCCTGTAATATCTGTTGGCATTTCGCCCCTTGGTTGAAAATTGACTGTCCTTAATTCCCTAATCCTCTCGAAGGTGGAGCAGATCGGATTAGGAACAAAAGACGTGTCAATCCCCCCGCCCTCTCCCCCTCCCATGTATTGTTCCATCACGACCAAACAACATGCCCCCGTCTGGGTCTGTTTAGCGTAGGGCGGGATCCTGCCCATGTTCGCACCCATTCGGGACCCGATAACGCGCATCAGTCACCGCAGACTCGCTAGACGGCGAGACAGCCTGTCGGGCTGAGTCAATTTGGCTGTCTGTGGACACGCGCGCTATCTATCTATCACTCTGTGTGTTAGTCAAGGCGATATCTTTCCCCAGGTCCGAAGAGTAAACCGCTCAGACAATGTGCTCCTACTCTCCAAGCAGAGGTGTAGGATTCGACTTATTTTTGACGTGTTTTAGGCGTATTTATGAGCCTTCTTTTCGTATTGGTATCTTTTCTTCAACTTATTTTTGGCGTGTTTTGGCCTTTCGTTTTGTGTTGGTGTCTTTTTCGACTTTTTTTTGGCGTTTTAGGCGAATCTATCAGGCTTTTTTTTTTATTCGTATCTTTTTTTTACGCCAACCAAAATACTACCTGGCTAATTTAATACTGTCTTGCCAATTCACGAAAAGATTTGATCAGAGATTAGAAACCTACTGCATATGAAAAATGAAAAATCAAAAGGCTCAGTCATTGATACCTAGAAAAGAAGTATTCTTTAAAAAACGTTTATAAATGGCAACGAAAAATACCGTACATACAAATGTCGAAAGGAGTACCTGTATTTATTGGTACCACCAATAATATCTAGAACCAACCTACGATACAAGACATCGCATTGCCTCACAGATACGCAGTATGTTACAGGATACTAGTATAGATGATTCGACTTACTACAATAAAAATTAACAGAAAATTAACTCCGAAAATCTATTTTTACTGTGCTGTCACTTTTTGAGAGTATTTTAAGGCTTGGCACCTCTAGCCGTGACAAGAAAACAGGAAGACCGGAAAGAAGTGAACAATAGCCCAGGTGACAGAACGTGGTGACACAATGGCCGGGGAGCACTCTGCGCGCGTCATGGAGAGACAATGGGTGAAAGTTTGGGCCGTGACTGGAAGTCAGGCTAGCGAGAAACCATGCAGTTCAAATATTGTTCACTTGTGAATGTGTGCAGCCGAAAATAGGCCGTATTCGCGATGTACCCATTGTGTAAAATGAGACACGTTTTGTCAAAAGAACTTAGCTTAGAAGTGATGATGAAATGTTTCAGAAAAATACGATTAAAAAGTCGTGAAAACGAGCAAGTTGTTGTAGAGAGAAAATTGATAAAATATTTCTGGAAAAGATGGAGTTGGAATAGTTTGGCTCATGTTTACGATGTTCTTTCGTTGCCATGGCGACAGATGCTGGATAAACACAGGTGCGAGGCCCCCCTCCCCCCTGCCTCGTGGGAGATTGTCCAAACGCAGGTGTTCGCAACAAAACAAAAAGAAAAGAAATGTCAAAATACTCGCTGATCGACGATTAAGTCTCTCAATGCATTTCCTTCTACCTGGTTGACTTCCTTTGAAGCCCACAGAGTGGAAACTAGCGAACGATCACGTACTCAAACGCGAGACAAATCTCTGTACGCATTCCTGGACAGAACAAAATATTCAGGTGGGGTAGATCTAATGGACACAAGAAATCTCCAGGAATGTGAAATTTTGAACACCCTTTGAACAAACAACTCGTCCATCACTATATATATATAGGCGTGCGTGGAGTTAAATTTTGAATGTGTTCTGTTATACAATGTGACACTGGGTCAGACTACTAACAATTTTGACAATTTTCATATAAAATCTAGAATACTTGTTTTTCTGATTGCTGGAGAAAAAAAATACCGAAACTAATGAAGATCATGAAACGTACTAACAGTGATGAGATACTAGTATTCCTTGCCTTGTAAACGTTCACACAAGATAGCATGGTGTACTTTTATTCAAACAAACTACAGGGGGCACGCAAAATATCGAGTTAGCTACACCAACTTTGTCTGTAACAATCTCAACCATTCTTTTTTGTACTCTTCAATCTGAGGTTTGGGTTTTGGCTTATTTCTGGCGTGTTTTTAGGCTTTATTACTGGGCTTCCTTTTTTGCACTGTTTTTTTTTTACCCTAACCCAAAAAAAGAAAGCCCAATAAATAAAATTTATGAACACGACAAAAAAAAGCAAAAACCCAAACCTCTGCTTGGGGAATAATTTTTTGTACGAGGAATTTTTTTTCTCCCATCCCCTGATCTTGACATGATCCTCCAAGCAGATCCTAGGGTGGCAAAAAGTATCAAATTGGTCAGGCAGTATCCATTGGCCAGAGAGGGTCCAATACGGGCCATATATAATGAAATACCTTTATTGTACATTCATGCCATGACGGGCTAGGTACAGGTCAAGACTTAACCGACACATAACAGACGTATGTAGAAAAGTGGAGACAAAAATACACTACTTGACTTAGACATACATACATAAGGAACATACAAGGGTACTATACTAGGCTAATACAAAGTGTTCTAGTTACTGAGTGGTCAACTTCTCGCTTTTTTTGTGCAATGGAAACGATCTTCCCCCATCAACCTCTGCTTGGAGAGTAGACATGAGGTAGCCTCCGTGGCAGGCTTATAGAACTGGGGGTTTGGTGGTCTTCGGCTGTTTTCTGATTAGCCCAGTTCTAAAAAACGGGGGAAATTCAACCAGGCCGGCTGTGTTGTCTACAGTGTATATGCAATCAGAAAATAGCACATAAAATCTCCCAGAGACCCTGAAGACCCCCAAAACCCCCAGTTTTTGGCATGCTGTGGAGGCTAAAGATCTTCCCCCATCAACCTCTGCTTGGAGAGTAGACATGGGGCACGTGTCCGTAAGCCTCACTGTGGGGGATCAGCTCACTAATCCGGGGTGAAGTAATCCCACTTCTCCGCCCAGAACGTCCACAGGTGTAAACAACGTCGTTACAATGCCATTGTTTACCGACTACCCCTGTACGGTTTCCCATTCACACCAGGCGTCATCACCCTCTATTTTCCCCTCCCCCCACTTAACCCATTGTCTGACGCCAGAAAAACACATTGTCTTGCCCGCCTCCTTTTTTTCACTTGCAAATTCCCCCCGCAGACGTCTCGCTGGTATATAAATCGTGGTGATTCTGAGTTGATCTTTACTCGCCCTCCAGACGTCGGTTATAGCTGAGCTGCTACGCGATTTGTTTCACCAATTCGCTACTCGGTATTCAGTATTCAGACCACCACCGGTCACCCCGTGCCGTTGTGAAAGATAAGATGTTGCCGCGAGCAGTGCTAACGCTGGTTTCTCTCTTCTCTACCCTGCCCGGCTGTCCTGGGTACCTGTTTGGCTACTCGTGGGGTGTTCCAGTGCCCAACCAGCCAGAGTTCCCCAACCATCCCCGGAACATCCTGTCGGACAGAGCCGACAACGCCACAGAGAACAGGACCAGGACGGTGGAGACCGCGGTAAGTCCGTCTGTATCTGTATCTGTATCTGTACAGCCGGCATAACCGCCTTTCGGCGTAACACACCAGCTTGGATGTGAGCTCCTAGTACTCTCCAAGCATAGGTTTGGGTTTGGGCTTATTCTTCCGTATTTCAGGCTTTTTATATCAGGGTATCTTTGTTGTAACTTGGTATCTTCAGCCAAACGGTTAAGTATTGGATATGGTCTTGCCTATTTGATATTGTTCTGCCTACTTGATGTATACTGTCTCACAACCACTAAAAGATCTGCTAGTACTAGGACATTGCTCTCCAAGCAGAGGTTTGGGCTTTGGCGTATTTTTGGCGTGTCTTAGGCTTTTTATTGGGCTTTCTTTTTTGCACTGTTTTTTCAAATGCCAACCAACGTCCTTGCACCCCCCCCCCCAAAAAAAACAAGTAAAAAAAGAAAGCCCGATAACAAAGCCTAAAACACGCCAAAAATGCCTAAACCCAAACCTCTGCTTGGAGAGTAATTTTCCAACAGATCTTTCAGTGACAGTATACATCAAATAGGAGGAACAGCATCAAATACTAGTAGGCAAGACACTATCCGATACACAACCGTTTAACTGGCGAAAAAAAAGAGGTGGATTT